GTACTCCATAAACTATATATATATTTAGTATTGAATGGCCGATACTTGATGAAAGACACGCCAGATGAAGCCATTGTATGGCGAAACACGTGTTGCGTTTTTGTAAAACAATTTAGTGAAAATCTCACAATAAAGTGTTTTTGGAATACGTTAAAATTCCATACGTTTCTCTTCATCACCTGCCTTTAAAGAGTGAAGAAATTTAGGTTTAAATGCTCACATTTTGTTTTGTTTAAGACATCGTCGAATAGTCTCTCTCGGTAAGTTTAAATCCAAACTGGCGACTCGTAAACTTCTGTTGGGGTGGTTTCTAAAATAATCTAAAACAGCACCTTCGTTTAAATTTCTTCTTCGGTGATTATGTTTTGAAATATGTTTGCTGACTGCACCGGTTTCTTTAAATGTTTTGTTAATTTTACTGACGGTGCTTCTGTCAATGGGAAGTCGATTTGGATGTCTGTGATTAAATATCCTAGCTGCTTCTCTTTCACTATGATAATTGTCCCCAGAAATTCTCACAATTTCAATTCTTTCTTCTAATGATAATTGCAAAGCCATTATTAAATGCACGTAACTAACAACTATTATTTTATTTATGATTAACTGTCAAAATCACAGCCTACTGTTGATTTATTATAAAACCTTTGCATAATGAGTTCAGCTTCCTCAAATTATTGATATCTCCTCTAAAAGAAAAGTGTTCTGTGGCGGTCATCAAATGTAACATAGAGACACAATAACCGTTGTATACTCACTACTCTCAAAGAACAGGAGAACATGTAGACTGAGAATGTTGAAGATATGTTATTTTTATTAAAAATTTCGTTTACAATCTCAATAAATGAAAGCCTCACAGTTCAATGAATGTTCTAAAGTTTTCTAATGAAAAATTGTTATACAGATCATTCTGAATAAACTCCTTCGAAACTGAAGAAATGTTGAAATAGTTCGTGAAAAATTGCTTTTCTGAAATTGTAAGGCAAATATTTGAAAATTGAACCAGCACCTCCTTACTATTAACTGAGATAATTTTCATTATTGACTGAGTATATTAGTCGACAAAGAAAATAAGCACATATTATATTAAAGTTAATTCTGTGTGAAATGATGGATAGTTTCTTGACGGTCTCGGCTATCTGAATAGCTTTCATTAGGATTTCAAAAACTCTATTAGCTGAATCTTATATAAACTTTGGGTAATTTCTGTTTTGACTTCGACTAAGTCGTTGCTACAACTTTCCATTTTCTGTACTTTTTGTGGAACTGTACACGACTCTATCATTTCAGAAATAATAAGTGTTTTTCATTTGTTGAAGTAATTCAAATGATAGTGATTTTTAAATAACATTCCACTAACATTCCACATGATCCACTTCAATATCTGATTAAGACTCATATCTAAGCATATAAGAGCTATATAAACGAAATTCATTACGAATCATTTCAGTTTTCTTTTGAAGAAGAAATCACTAGAAGTTGAAAATGGTACTATTGAAACTTCTCACTTTTGTTGCGCTGGTATATACCGCAAATGGTAAGACTAACTTTTCATTTGAGTAGTTGTGAATATCAATTCGTAATTATTGAAGTCACCAATATCATTTTTCATAATATTCTTCAAATGCGGCTTAGCTCATAGGTTTTTATCACTCTTCTGCATCTCCCGTTTCATTTTAATTCTGAAAAATCGATAAATCATAATGTACTTTACATGATTTGGAAAATGCACCTTACCGGTCTTCAGCAATTCATAAATTTTTTTATTGTTGGCAATCAACGACAATTATCATTAGAGTTGTCATTATTAGATTACTGCAAACAAAGCCGAACGGGAGAATTATGATTGTATCCGTATCACATAAATTTCACATACAGTAAGTACCTACCTTATTTTCTGAGTCGATTTTGATTATTTTGGGGTAAGGAACGCTTCTTTATTATGGTCCAAATAATTTAGCTACATTTCGTACAATTAAAATCAATATGTACATGTTACTTTCGTATCGAAAGGATTTCGAATGGGAGAGTGAAAATTTTAACTTCAAAAATACAAAAATATACCAACTGGTAGAAATACTTATTTGGTACAGCACAATGTGAATGAATAAGATTGACATCAGAATGAATCATTTAAAATGGTCGAAGTTTCATCTATTACATTAAAACATAATGATTGGGACATATATCAAAGAGTACCTACTTTATTAATATCAAAGGTAGGAGATATTTTGTGAAGTCTGGAGTAGCTATACAACTACTGTAAATAAAAATTTTAGCTATGTGTTAAACCAATATTCTTTGAATGATGCGTTTTGACAATTGATGGAAATATGATGTTAAGGAAAAATTATTGGTCAGAGAAAGTTGAATTTCGAAATACATTTTTAATTTTTGGAAGCATGTAGCTGAATTAGAAAAAATCACTGTAAGCAGAAAAAATGAAAACATTCATGTTAGGCTCGTACATAATTTATAACACACAGATTTATGAATAAGTAGTGATCCGCACCAGTTTTGCACGGGTGCATTTCAGGGAAAGTTCATCGTAAAACGTAGTTTGAGTCCACAACTTTTAATATCAGTTGTAATTTGTGAACAAAAGTCTGAATCATAAAATTGAGACAAGAATCCATATGTACCTTTAACGGTACTTTCAGTCAGACAAGTTCAAAGAATGGCATTATCAATGAAAATATTTCTATTTCATAAATAAATTCTATACAACGTATAACTACAATTTTGAATTCAGAATATTAGCGAGACTTATCTATGTCTAATAAATAATTGTGAATTATACTTTGATTTTCAATGTCTGTTTATATAATTTATAATATATAACATATGACATATAATAATATGAACATATGAACAGACGAATAATAATGGAGTTTTCTGCCCAACACCAAACCGTTATTTTAACACCTCACCAAGTGATCCCAATTATATTTTAAACATACCTAGATATATGTAATAGTATATTAATGACATTAAAAATAAAATAAATACAACAATAAAAATTAATTGGCGCTCCGGGGCGACTTCATTGATTCCAGTGGCGCATTTGCTTTTTCAGCTGCAGGAAAACCCGGAAAAACCTGCAGCACCACATCATCTGAAGATCTTGATCTAACAATGTCCTCTCTCTCATAAAAAAAATGTAGGGTGTTAAATAACTTCAATGAAATTTTAGGAATTTTCAGAAAAATATTCATATTGAACTCAATTGCTTTTTAATTGATTGTGCAGGGTAATGAATTCATTTTCTCCATACTGAATGATGATATTTCAGTGGGATGAACTTTTTATGTTTTCGGTGGTAGTGTCTTTTTAAGTTTCATGCGAATATATTAGACATTATGATCATCTCATACACTTTTTCATATAGAAAAGAAATTCATTATGGAAATTATTTTTGTGGTCAAATTAAAAATTTTTTTTTATAAATATTGTATCTTACAACTTTTTGTAATGAATCACGATTTTCACTTTCATCTCATATTCCTGATCTTTTAGCAGATTCAAGCAGATATAAGAAAATGCCAATTATTAAATTCTAGAAGTTCTGATATTTTCATTATTATTATCATATCATCGTGAATGGTAACTGTGGTAATTATCATTTCATTTGATGAATCATGGTATGAAAAAGTAGGATCGACACATGGAATGTGTTTTCAATATCGTGAATCGTAAAACAATTCAGTTGAACAAAACATATTCATTTGCTCTAGACTCCACACTAACTTATGAGTTGTACTGAATGCAAAAATTGATAATAGTAGTAACTACATGGGACTCCAATATGAAAATTACTTTCAAGGTGATAATCATAGATTTGTTAATTTTTGTTAATAATTTTGGAATATTACAGATGTGGTTTGAAGAAATATTTTGAGAATTATAACCGGTGCAAATCTTGGATACTCGACTTTTTTGAACCAAACAACCCTTTTAAAGTCTCAGTTAAACACAACTAACTCGAAAAAAAATTTGACTCAACTCTTTTTGAATTATTTCATTAGTTCGGACTTCCATTGTCTAATATGATATGAAATAATTTGAAATTCCTGAAAGAATTAAAATAATTAAAAAGATTAGCTGAAAAAAGCAATTATATCAAGAAGAAAGACTGAAATTACAATGAAATAGAGTACAAGCAACAATTGGAAATTGAACAATCCACAAGAAATGAAAATTAAAATTGAAAGATTTCAAGCGAAGTTACTTCACGACGTTTCAATTGTTAGTATCGTCTTCGGGTGATGACCATAAAAATTTATCAACCACCTTCAAACTTTTTTGAATTCTTCGGTTGTACTGCACTTAACCAACCTTGAAGCAATTGACACAATAATATGCATCAGGAATTCAATTCAATTACCCGAATTATCAAAATGAAATAACGTCCAGACGAATATGAAAATCTGTCATTATGTTATCGTTAATAGATTTTATGAATCTCCTGTCGATGCTGATTTTTCATTGAAAAGTCCTGAAGTATGGAAAAAGTTTTTTCATTAGTGAAATTCATGAACCAGTAACGAAAACGGAAATATCAGAAGCAGGTTGGTAGGTACAAATTGGATCCCGTTACTTTTAGTGTTAACCAGTAATTTGCATAAACCTGTTTTGTGCAATTGACAATACGCAGAGTTCTACTGTTGCCTATCTAGCCACTCTCCAAAAATTCGTGGAGGGTAAGAAAGTCTTGAAGAATTTTTTTTGGCTGATGATGATGTGGTGCAGATGTCGCCGGAAATAGCCAGGCGCACCTGTCTCTGCACACCTAAGAACTTCGTCTTACTCGTTTGCTGTTGGATTTTCGTCCACTAGGCATTGTGTAACTTATCATGAATGAGATAATTTTCAAGTTTATCCAATGGATCGTACCATTTTCACCTCAAACTACAAATAACGAATGCATCTCGAATAAAAACAATTCACTTTTGAGACCTTCCAAATTAGAAACAAAAATGATTTCACCTGACGAAGTCAGCAATATAACCAATAATGATGATAATGTCTTTTTGCAGTGGTACATTGAACGTCACCAACATGAAATGGTATGGAATTCCCCACTGGAATCTGGATGTTGAACAATTAAGTAAAGACAGTGACTCAAATGCAATCCTCAAATACACACTCTGGTGGCCAAGATTCGAGTTTCTTTCACAATACAGTCTTGAAACAAATGTGGCTTTGATTCCTGGAAAGGTTTCCGGATATTTGAAGTAAGTTATAATATTTTTATATCTCGATTTTACGGTAAAAATGAGTAAATCGACGAAAGAAAGAAGAAAACATTAATGGATTTTTTTGGTTTGACTAATGTCATACCTTCACATAAATGTAAACTATTACTGTATATACTGCTGAGATTATCAATGCCAGTTCTCTTATTCATACAATTAGAAGAGTTACAACCATTTCCAGAAAAAGGCGTTTGGAAATATTTTTTTCTGTATGTAAAACTTTGATATTAGAGTAATTTGGTTTATGTCCTGCTTCTATAGAATGTTGCGCTAATGCACGTGATTTATTATTAAGCTTCATATCACTTTTATGTGATATAAAGCTGAGATTCTCAACTTCAAATAACAATATATCAAATCATATGTATAGATCAAATTCATTTCTTACAGTGTCACCTTAGCCAGCACCTCATGGAGTGGTGAAGTCAATTTCACCAAACCAGGTTTCAATCTAGCAGAAGGAATTGAAGAACTCACTTTGAACTGGAATGCTGACAAAGTGAATGTAAGTACCTTCTTTACCCTACGTTATGATGAAATGATGAAATTGAGTCATCTTTGTCCTCTATTCATATGTAAGTCACATTACCGAAGAAGTCTGTGTGTTTGTATCAGTAACAGTTAACAAATTTTATACTTATTCCACTACTTTGTGAATAATATCTCTAGCACGATTTCAGTGTTATTGTCTTAATACAGAAATGTTATTTATCGAATTCAACGGAATTGTTATTTTTCTATCTCAGAAAATGTTTGATGTGAAAATTTTTTGGATCATCGCCATATAAACTACCAGTCGGTGGGTCTCATACTTCGAACATATATTTTCGAAACCCCTAAAAATCGAATATGCAGAACTGAAAACTATGTAAGATCTAGTCGCTGAAATAAGGGATCGGATAGTCAAAGAGTTTACAAATATCAATCACAGGAAGTTATTATCTACGCACAACAAAAATTGTCCCATATTTAGTTAGAAATGATTTCTATCAAATTCAACTGAATTCTCACCCCTCTATCTCAGAATATGTCTGATGAGAAAATTTTTTGATTCATCATCATATAAATTTCCAAACGAACATATATTTTTGAACCCCCTGAAAAATTAATGTGCGGACCTAAACACTTTATAACATCTAGTCGTCGAAATGAGAGATCGTATAGTCTAAAAGTTCATGAAGACCAATCACAGAAAGCTCTCATCTAAGTACAACGACCATTGTTCCACAGTCAGGAATATTATCCGATTCAATGAAGATCTGAGATGGATGAGAGACTCAGGAGGCTGAACAGTGTTAGACTCTAGATTCTTTCGAAGGACTTTAAGGTTACAATACATAATTCAAAATCAAATACGGTAAAGTTCTAACACATTTTTCCTGGAAAAACGTATAACTGAAGGTCCTGCTGTAGATTTGGAGATTGACTTATTAAACTCAATTATACAACTTGCTGATACTGTATTACTTCAACAATGCAGAGGTACATGCCTGGAAGGGTCTGACGAAATTTGGTAATAACATTTGAAATTGGAGATACTCCCTGATAGATCAAAATTCTTACAAGCGTTTGGACTGCACTCTTGTAATTGTTGAACCTAAAAGTGGAAAAGAGACTGCTCGGGAAATGTCATGGATCTCTACTGGCAACCTGAATATTCAGAAATCATGAAAAATAAAAAGAGCTGATGAGTATCCTATACACAGATTATTAATGTCATATAACAGATCTGAATAATCCGTCGGGGTACCAAAATCAAATCATAACAAACATCTGGGACTACAAACAGAAAAACCTTTGAATAATGTTTTTGCTACTCACTGTACAATGTCCATTGAACAACGAAGATGTACTTGATGTAACAGAAGAGTAGAGGCAGTTTGTCATATTTCACGCAAATGTGAGGTACTGGATCTTTGAAGACAAGCAATTTTTTGCAAAAGAATGTTACAAACAATGAATATCAGAAAGAACTAGCCGATGTTATCGACCATATATACAATTTATTGGAGAGTTTTCGATATTACGGTCATTGTAAATTATTATTTGAGTAATATTTTTTCCATTTCATCTCCATTTTCTTTTTGAAATTCCGAATACTTCAAAAAATATCCAATGAGTTCCGAAACAAAAGTATATCAGTTTTCACCCAGATCCTGAGTTCAAGAAATTTTTTTGAGAATAATTTATTGAGTTAACGTGGGTAGTAGCTTTCAATTTTTGGTGTCCAAATGTGGTTGGGAACATTATTTCATTTAAACTGAATTGAATTCTTCATCTGGTTACTTCACTAGTTCTATTCCATGAACTCCAATATCATCCGAGATCAATATTGAATAGTGTCTTCGTTTGGTCTCAGTTTCCGCATATTGTCAAAAAATCGAATCTGGTGCAAAAAGAGTGCCTTTTCAGCAATATTTTTTCTGTTCTATTATCTGGAGCTATATTTTGTTTTCATATGGAGAATATATAATATGAGGAAAATATAATGTTTTTGACCCCTTTGAGATTTGAAGGCATTTCTAAGAGAAATTTGTAATTTTGCCTGAATTATCTGCACTACATTGACTAAAATATTATACTTTCAGTTCGATTTCACCGGTCTTGGAATTTTCGGTAATGCAGTTTCTAATACAATGAGTGGATTAGTTAAAGCGTTCCTCGACAGTGGAAGCATGGGAAATGCTCTTGGGGACCGACTGAAGACAAGATTGAACACTGTCTGGTTCCAACATAACGAAAGGATCGATAAGATTTTGGAATATTGTAGGAACAACTGAGATGTTATTTGAAAATGTAAATTTCAGTTAATGAATAATGAATAAACATTATTTTACTACAATATCCATATCTCATTACAATCATAGCGATCATATGATAATCATATATAACCATAAACGAGCAACTCAATTTATGTAGGTCTTCACTCTTGAATTCATAAGTTTGATAACTCCGGTGATTTGAAAAATATATAGTGTAGAATCCTTATAATTGACACTTATGTTTATTTAATTTCCTCCCCATTCGGCTTACTTAGCAACTCCCTATATAACCCCGTTTTTGGATTTCAAATGTACTAGCATAGTATAATTCATCATTATACTATGGTATAAATTAATTTTTATACTTGATAGTGTGATAAAACTCGAAACCGGTCGTAAAATTAAATAAACTAGTGGAAATTAGACAAAAGTGTTTTCATTTGTTTCATCAAACTGAAACTAACAGTGTCACAACTAAAATTGTTGAAAATTGTTACTGAATTGAAAAACATCAAAATCATTCAAACTCACTAGTGAGAATTATTTTGATTTCCATAATGAAAGTTTTACAAAACGACGTCACGTGTTTCACAGTAAATGATTAAATCACTTTAATGAAATGAATAAAAACACTTTTGTCTAATTACCACTAGTTGATTTTATTTATTTATATGACCGGTTTCGAGTTTGACCCCATTATCAAGTAGGTATAAAACTGATAATGGGGTCAAACTCGAAACCGGTCGTATGAATAAAATCAACTAATGGTAAGTGTTTTTATTCATTTCATTAAAGTGATCATGAATTACCAATGATTGAAATCTGATTGAGAAAGCTATCGTATAGCAAAATACGTGTCGTGGTTTTGATAACCTTTTATATGTTATTGAGTTTTGATATGGAGTTCCATCAAGTATCCATTCAAGACAATGGAATTGAAAATGGAGATTAGGTACATAATTTTCAGTATTGTTTGTTAGTGCTTATTTTATACTTTTTTTGAGTTGAATTCATAAATATATGCGATATGTTGATGGATACTGTTGAAGTTGTGAGTAATAAAGATCTACAATGAATTTGAAAAATCAAGTTTTTGTAGCTTCATTTGCAACAACCAAAAAGCAAACCAACCCATCCGAGTAACCCCTCTATTGTGAGATTTTGAGTGAATAGTTAATAAAACTACAACACGTGTTTCAATATATTATAGCTGAGAAAGCTGTTGTGTAGCAAAACACGTGTTTCAGTTTTGTGAATTATTCAGTGAAAATCTCACAATAAACTATCAATTAAATACGTGATGGATTTTCATCAAATGTCGGCCGATACATATATTTCCACAAATTTTTTCTATATATATAGAATAGAACATCAAAACATAGGAAAAACTATATATTCTGATTTTTCATATTTTTCTGCAATAAACTATATTGCTTCAGGAATTTTGTATTTCTGTTATAGTCTTGTTCATTTTCTCGATAGTAGATGAACCGTTCTCCCATTTGATTGAGATCAACGAAATGAAACTGAGGAGGTTGTGTGGTGATTTTAATATAAACTGTCATAAATCGGATCTAAATACAAAACTACTATCTGACATTTTCAATTCATACCAGATAAGCAATAATCTTCAAGGTGCCACTAGAATTTTCACTAATAAAAACGCGCACACTACCTCATCCTGCATTGATTACATGGTGACCAGCCTACCTCAACCAAAATGGGAAATAAATTTGGTCCAACCGAATATAGCCGATCATTTGGCACACATTCTGGTATATAAAGAAACAAACACTGTATGCAATAAGAAAAACAAAATATCATATATTGAGAGGCGTAGTTTATGCGATGACAATATGACCGAACTACAACATCGGTTAACTCGTGAAGATTGGTGCCAAATTTTTTATTTACAAATAAATGAAGCTTTTGAGTACTTCTATAACACACTGATTTGGTGTTTCTATGTATCATGTCCAAAAAAGCGGTGCTATGGGAAATCCTACCAGAAAAGCTGGATAACTCATGAAATCATTGATGAAAGTAAAAAATTATAGGAAGTGTTTTGGCTTCTCTCAAATTCCCAAAAATCTGAACCTCACTTGATTGAACATTATAAATCAAGATTGCGAGAGCACAAACATAATGTAAAGTTGGCAAAAAATAACTATTTTAAGTCTAGAATAAACCAGTCAGAAAACAAAACTAGAGAGACTTGGAAGATAATAAATAAAGAATTAGGACGAAGCACAAACAACTCGAAAAAAACAATAACTTTTCAATCTCCAACTCTTTTTATCTTTACTAGCCTGTAGTACAACTGACTTACCATATATACCCAAGTGTATCAAAAATGGTGAATAAATATTATTATTATTATTATTAATTTCAGTTCTCACTATTGTTGAACAAAGTCCAATTGGATTTGTAGATCTAGTCAGGAAAAAATTCACTTGTCATTTTTTTATCAGTTCCATATTATCAGAAATAGTCGATTGTGGTGAAAAATTATTGTATTGATATGACTGATATTAATATCGTTCATAGATAGTGGAATCTTTAATAGTAATATCGAGCTGAAATTATTGAAACATTCAAGGTTGATGAATTTCGATAGAAGGTTTTTATTGAAATATTTCCAGTGGGGAAAAACTCTTTTGGGTATAGGTAATTAACGCACTTGAAAAACATGTGATAAACTCTCAGATGAGGTTGATATGAAATTATAATGAATATTTCGATTCCACCTCCTCAAATATCATTTCGTTACAAAATGTTTTCGTCAAAAATAGTTCAAAAACTCATTGTTCAACAGAAATTGGAACATTGGAAATTGGAAAATAAAAAACACCTCAACAATAGTGTACAGCAGGACATATTTTGACATATTCACATTCGATCTAACTTTTCCTATCGTACCCGCAGAGTATGTTTTGCATTATCGAATGTTCCATGATGAACAGATTTCAACAAAGAAGTTATACATTATGGTCTCAAGCTCATAGTTTGGAAGGCAAAAATTAAATTATCTAAAGAACAATTCGTTCAGGCCAGTCTCAACTCCCTATACAGTAGGTTAATGGACTGACACCTATCAGAAAACAACTACTCCCCTGGCTAATACCACGAAGGGCGTTGGACTATATCCGACAGGTGTCAGTGCAGGATTCTTCACATAAGTTATTCCTGCATATGCTGTTGGCGATACAAGTGCCGCAATCGATTTTCAATTATTGGAACACACTTGCAGACCGGTTTGGGGCTGTTTGGCAACTCGTCAGTGTAAGGTAGTGTAGGTCAACATAAAGTTGACTCAACTCCCTACGCAGTAGGTTAATGAACTGACACCCATCAGAAAAAAATCCAACGCCCTTCGTGGTATAAGCCAGGGGAGTAGTTGTTTTCTGATAGGTGTCAGTCCATTAACCCACTGTGTAGGGAGTTGAGACTGGCCTGAACGAATTGTTTTTAGATAATTTGATTTACACCCAGTCTTCAAGTATGCCCACTGATTATATGTGAAAGACAAAAATTATTTGACTTGAAAACGAAACGCCCTGAATGAACATCTGTACAATCTGTTGCCTTGGTTTCCATGGTGTTTTTGTGAAGTATGCTTCAAAAATGTTTTATTTTGCCTAGTTAAGTTTGAATTCGATATTTTGTTCATTTTGTTTTTGTCTCATTTTAAAATAACGATTACCTACCACGTGTAGTTATAATTGGTGTTTAGTGAATTCTTGAGAAGTAATGGTTTATACTCTTCGAGAACGGATTGAAATAGTGAGTTTGTACTACCAGAATGAAAATAGTGCTAGAGCTACTTCCCGTATGTTCAATGATAACCGTCCAGAAAGAAATGTAACAAACAAATACGTTTCGGAATAAATGAACAACCTCATTTAAATTGGATCTGTTAACAATAAAAAGTATAACCGTCCAGGAGTTGTCAGCGACCCATAACAAAATGACCCATAACTCTGAAATTAGAATCAATCACAGTTGACAAATTCATAACTCACTCTACGAAAAACGGGAATGGAAACATGCAATCAGGAAGTGGAAAAAATTGAAATGTTGCCAATGATTTGATATTTTTTAAAGTTATCCCACTCAATATCGATATGAGAGTAATCAAAAATCCCTGCGTCAAGTATTTTTTTCACTTTTCATTCAATTTTAAAACTATTTGAAATTCGATGGTACTACTCTGTTTCCACGCAAACTGTCGAAAATTAAAATATTTTGAAGTATTGCGATTGCTTTTGCAAATATTTTTTTTGATAAGTCGCGATAATTTTTATTCATGTTTCAGCTCCAACTTAACCGAAAAAATTTTGTTTTCCCCAAAATGTTTGTCTTTTGTGAAGTACTGTTTGAATTCCATGTCAAATTTTTGAAGTACACATTGAAAGAAAAAAGTGATTCACTTATAATTCAATGTCTCGAAAGTACTTTCTTTCGTTACTATGCATAATCTACACATCTTTGTTGAGAGTTAATTTTGAACTTAACTGCTCTCTTCCTTTGGAAGTTATCCACAATTTTTTGTATTGTGATGGAAAAGTGAAAGTCTGAATATTTTTTCCAAAAACTAATCTCTCTTTGAAGATATACACCGTTCAGATCACATAAAAAATAGTTATTGACAATGACAAAGCAGAAAAATACATACATAAAATCCGTCTAGCAATCAGCTAATAGATATCACTATTATCCATCAACTTCTTCATCGCTTGTACCAGTATACTACAAAAGTAATGATTGTGTTTAAAGCATAAAATTTTTCCTGAAAATGACACACTACAACTTCTCATATCTCACTTCACGCTAAAAATTCTGAACTTTCATGAGGAACTAGTGATTTTTTGTAAGAAACAACTTTTGTGATCATCGCTATGACTTCAAGATTTCATTTAAATGAATTTTAAAAATACATTATGAATTTTCCGACATATTTTCTGGTATTTATGCTGAACTTTTTTCATATGGTTGAAGTTATTAGTAAATATTTCGAAAATTTACCACATTATTATTATCATCATCATCTTTCAGTCGTGAATGGAAACAACGGAAAATA